AGGTTTTCTATTCATCATTTGGTCTGGGTATATTGTATTTTTCTAGTAATTTGTCTATTAATTCAAAGTTGTCCATTTTGTTAGTATATAATTGTTCATAGTAGCCTCTTACATTATTTGTATTCTGTGGTTTCAGGTGTAATGTTCATTTTTAAATTTTAAATTTATATGATTCTTCACTTTTTTCTTGGTGAATCTAACTAAAGATTTGTCAACTTTACTTACCTTTTCAAAGGACCACCTCTTAGTCTTTGACCTTTTGTCTTTTTAATCTTTATTATATTTATTTCTGCTCTGATCTTTGTTATTTCCTTCCATTAACTTTGGTTTTTCTTTTTTTTTTTTTTTCACTAGTTCTTTGAGATGTCAGTTTAGGTTTTTTATTTGAGATTTGTCTTATTTCTGGAGGTATTAAATAGGCATTCATTATTATGTTTGTCTTATGATTACTTTAACTGCATCCCACATGTTTTGGTAAATTCTATTTCCATGTTTCCAAATTTTTAAATTTCTCTTTTGATTTCTTCTTTGACCTGTTGATTGTTCAATAGTATGTTTTTTGAGCTCTACAAATTGGTGAAAATTCCAGTTTTCTTCTTGTAATTGATATTTAGTTTCATACTATTGCGGTTGGAAAAGATACTTGATATGATTGGAATCATCTTTAATGTATTAAGACTTTTGTGTGACCTAATATATAATCTATCTTAGACAATGCTCCATGATTGCCTGAGAAGAATGTGTATGCTGTTGTTTTGGGATGAAATGTTCTTTATATATCTGTTAAGTTCTTCTAGTCTGAGGTATGTTGTTTGAGGCCAATGTTTTCTCAACTAGTGGCTTCCCTGGTGGCTCAGACGGTAAAGCATCTGCCTGCAATGCGGGAGACCTGGATTCGATCCCTGGGTCAGGAATATCCCTTGGAGAAGGAAATGGCAACCCACTCCAGTATTCCTGCCTGGAAAATTCCATGGACTGAGATAGGCTACAGTCCATCCGGTCCCAAAGAGTTGGACACAGCTGAGCGACTTCACTTTTCTCAACTAATATCTATGTGATTGAGCTATTTATTGATCAAAATGGGAGTATTATCCTACTATAATTGTACTGCTGTCTATTTCTCCCTTTAGGTCTGTATTTGCTGTGTATAGTTAGGTGCTCTTTTGTTGGATACATAAATATTTTAAGATCTTAATGTCTTCTTGTTTGCTTCCTTTAGCATAATGTTGTAACTTCTTTGTCTCTTATAACTCTCTTTGTTTCAAAATCTCTTTTGTTTGATATCAGTATAGCTACTTCAGCTTTCTTTGGTGTCCGTTTGCATGGATTATCATTTCCCATCCTTTTACTTTCAGTCCCTGTGTTTTTCCATTTGAAGTGAACCTTTTGTGGGCAACATATAGATGACTTAGATGTATCCGTGGTAGCAGCTACAAATATCAGGGNTTATCATTTAATTTTAAGTTAAACAATACCAAGGTAGAATTGTTACTGATTAGGAAAGCAAAAACACTCTCCAGCATGAATCTAGCAAATTTGGACTTTGGACCTTGTCAGGAAGCATTTAACAAGAGGCTTCCTGTGTGCTGTCTTGGATCTGTCAGGAACCCTCTGGCCCTTATTAATTCCTGAATATTCAAGAATTAAGAGGAGAGGCAAGCCTTTCCCGGGGCTGAGGAATCCAGGCATTTCTCATTATGGTGATAAGTACCCTCTTCCTTTTTATGAGCCATATGGTAAAAGGTGATTGTTTGCAACTCTCTCTTTAGGAATCATCTTGTGTTTTGTAAGTCTGGAATTTTAATCCCCATCTTTGCTGAGAATAACTACAGTATATATGCCCACGCCCTGTTGATTAAAACACTTTTGCTCCATCAGAGCTTTTGTCCCCATGTCTTTCTTTCTTTCTCTTTCTCTCTCTCTTTCTCTCTTTCTTCCTTCTTTCTTTCATCTTTCTTTCTCTCTCTATTTCTGGCTAATTCGTTGGAGCGCGGAGGCCCACTGAGCTCACTTTCTTGCCCGGGCTTCTAAGACCCTCTCGAGAAGGCGCACTGTGCCTTCACCCACGTAGGCGCCCGGTGCCTCCCTGCAGCAGCGCGAGCCCTAAGAACAGGACTCTATTGGCTTTCTGTGTAAACCAGGGGATATCAGCCTCTTTCTCTCTCTTACTTTCTTATCATTGACCCCGGACCACCAGGTTCCGGTCCATTAAAGGACCAACAGGACCTCTTTTTATTTTAAGGAGAGGATTAGCATGATTGTTTATGATGCAAGGGCTAGCTGTATTATATAAAATAAGAACATGTTGCTTTCACTATTATATGAAAGGTATTTAAAAACAGTTTGAGTGTAGAATCAGCATACCTGAAGGGCTTGGCACTTAACTATCCTTTTCCAACTTTCTAATAACTTGTATTCACTTGATGATAGTAAAAGAAGGCAGTTTATTTCCCATTATCCCTTACATTGAGCATATACCTTGCATGGTCTTAGATCAATATACTCATCTGAAACAAGCTTTGGTTACCATCCTTCCGGTCCTTTGAAGGCCTGAAAACTAAAGCTCAAGATGACCCAGATTTAGTAAGACCCAGAGTAAAAGTTGGCTTCTGTTCTCTGCCTGCCTCTCTGGGTTCATATTTCCATTTTCACCTTTGAGAATTCTTGCCAGCTGATCAATACATTAAAATAGCAAAACTATCCATCTGTTTAGGTGAAAATCAGTAGAACAGTAGTTTCAGAGTATTTGACTTGTCAGGTGGTAGTGGGGAATCTGTGAACGGTAAATATTTTGGTCTTTGTGTGGCTGAAATATATGTGTGTGTGTATGTACATATGTATGTGGGCTTCCCCGGTGGCTCAGAGGTAAAGAGTCAGCCTGAAATGCAGGAGATGCAGGAGACACAGATTCAATCCCTGGGTTGGGAAGATACCCTGGAGGAGAGGGCATGGCAACCCAGTCCAGTATTCTTGCCTGGAGAATCCCATGGACAGAGAAGCCTAACAGGCTACAATCCGTAGAGTCACAAAGAGTCAGACACGACTGAAGCAACTTAGCATGAATGTACATGTATGTATGTATATATGTGTATGTGTATATATATAAATATATGTTGTATATATATAGAGAGAGAAAGAGAGAGAGAGAGGAGAGAAACATCTGACAAAGCCACATCTGAGCCAGGAAGCGCCCATTTGTATGGTGTTGACTAGGGATTCTCTGCCACCCTGCCCCCTACTTCAACTTCCTAAGAAATGATCTAAGAGAATGCAGAGTCAGTACTCCTGTGCTGGAACGCTCTCCATGGTGCTTCAAGAAGTGTCTGACTCAAGTCTCCCTATGGAATAATGGGCTTTGAGGAGAACACGTTTATTGATGTTACTAAGCTTGCAATTTTTTTCTATAAGCCTATGCCTCTGTATCATATCTTGCTAGTGCTATGCACTCATGGCCTTTGCATGCAATATTTTCCCTCTATAATATTAAATAATTAGTACCCTCAGAATTTTGATATCCTTTCATTATCATCTGATCTCTATTACATTTTACTTTTTATATAGTTGATTTACAATGTTTTATATAAAACTAACATGAGTTCAGAGAAGGCAATGGCAGCCCACTCCAGTACTCTTGCCTGGAAAATCCCATGGACAGAGAAACCTGGTGGGCTGCAGTCCACAGGGTCACGAAGAGTCAGACACAACTGAGCAACTTCACTTTCACTTTTCACTTTCATGCATTGGAGAAGGAAATGGCAACCCACTCCAGTGTTCTTGCCTGGAGAATCCCAGGGATGGAGAAGCCTGTGGATTGCTGTCTATGGGGTTGCACAGAGTCGGACGCGACTGAAGCGACTTAGCCGCAGCTGCAGCAGTTGTATATATATAACTATATAACTAGCTATATAACTATGAGTTATATATATGAGTTACTTTGCTATACATGTATGTATATGCATTAATGCATACAGATTCTTTTTAAATTCTTTTCCATTATAGGTTATTAAAAGGTATTGAATATAGTTCTCTATGCTGTACAATAGGACCTTGTGAGTTATCTATTTTATAAATAATAGTGTATATATATTTACTTCCAAACTCCTCTAATTCATCCCTTCCCACTTTTCATTCATCTTTGGTAACCATAAATTTTTTTTTCTATATCTATGAGTCTTTTTCTATTTCATAAATAAGCTCATTGGTATAATTTTCTTTAGATTTCACATACAAGCAATGTCATATATTTGTTTTTATTATGCTTGATGAAAAGTTTTCTGTCAGTTCAAATACCTTTCCTTTGTAGGGTATCAACGCTTTCTGTCTTCATGTTGTTGTTCACTAAGTCATATCTGACTCTTTGCAACCCAATGAACAGAAGCACACCAGGCTTCCCTGTCCTTCACCATCTCCTGGAGCTTGCTCAAACTCATGTCCATTGAGTCAGTGATGCCATCCATTCATCCCATCCTCTGTCACTGCCTTCTCCTCTTGCTCTCAATCTGGTAGCTTCTAAAATAATTTTGTCTGTTCTGCAATGTAACTTTGCTGTTCCAGAGTTTTTTTTACTTTTAATTATATACTTATATTTACCCTGCTTATTACTTTGAATCCACTTTTGATCTTAGGACAGTTGGTAAATTCTCATTTCTTCAAAACTCTCCTCTGTGCCATTTCCTCTGTTGTCATCTTCTGAAACTATAATATGATAGAAATGAGGACTGCACATTCACAGTCTGTCCTCCATTACTTTCCCATCTTCTACCCCCACCTGCCTTCCTTTTTGTTGTTGCTTGCTGCATTATGGGTGAATTTCTCTTTTAATTCACTAATTTTTCCCAGTGCCAAGTTACTACATCATTTAGTGTTTGATGATGAAGGCTGCATAACTCCTTTCCAGCATTTTTCGTAGAATTTGTTTCATATTTTGTTGATTGCTTCATGTCTGCCTTTTTGTTTGTTTCATGTTGTTGCTTTTTAAAATAGAAATTATACTTCACTTATATGTGGGCACTAAACATTTATTTTAAAGATTTTTCAGACTGTTTCATTATATTAACTTCTTCTTGAGACAGTATAGGCTTTTTCAGCTGATATTTGTAGCTTAATCTTCTCAGCATCCACCTTAGTTTGTATTCTCCATAGAGAAGACCTTGAGAGGGAAAAAAAGAAAAACTGAATGCAACTAGTTTATTTGGAAAGTGAAGTCACACCAATAGACAAGAGAATAATGGAGAAGGGAGACAGGGAAGGAAACAGGCAATAAAACGAGGCATCACCAAGTCCGTAACCCTGTGTGTAACTAGAGGTCACTTCTATAAGGGAACTTTGGGATTGAGTGTACAGTAGACCTCTCAGAGTTCTCTTACTCACATTGGGAGGACATTTATGCACAAATTTCCTTTAGTCAGTGTAAAGATATGCCTAGAAGGCATTAGCTTTACACCACTTTTAGTTTATCAGACCAATGGGCAAAGCAGGCTTCAGATACAACAGGGAAACTAAAATAATAAAATGCAAGGGGTTCGCTAGTGGTCCAGTGGTTAGGACTCCATGCTTTCACTGCTGAGGGTGTCTGTTTGATCCCTCATCAGGGAACTAAGATCCTGCAAGCTGGCAGGGAAAAGGAAAAAAAAATGCAAGTGTTGAAAAGTCATACCAATGGACACTCAAGCAGTGAGAGGAAGGAGATAGAGGCAAAGCACCAATGGCATCTATTGCAGGATTAGGTCTTTTCCTGTTTTGGGATTTGGTTTGTGAGAGAAATTTCACTTGTATTTTGTTCTGTCTCTTTATCTATGTCGCAGATGTTTTAGCATAGTGTTTATCCAGCCTTCCATCCTCAGCCCATATGCGTCTAAGAGTTTGTGATGACCTCAGGGGGCTTCTATGTCGCTCACGGAGGATAATATAGTTTCAGTCAGGAGGCTGCTATCTAGGCTTCTCTGACCACTGCCTTGTTGAAAGAATGTATCTACCTTCTCATTCCCAACCTGCCTTGTTTATAAGCCTTCAGTTCAGTTCAGTTAGTCACTCAGTCATGTCCGACTCTTTGTGACCCCATGAATCACAGCACATCAGGCCTCCCTGTCCATCACCAACTCCCGGAGTTTACTCAAACTCATGTCCATTGAGTTGGTGATGCCATCCAGCCATCTCATCCTCTGTCATCCCCTTCTCCTCCTGCCCCCAATCCCTTCCAGCATCAGGGTCTTTTCCAATGAGTCAACTCTTCTCATGAGGTGGCCAAAGTACTGGAGTTTCAGCTTCAGCATCAGTCCTTCCAATGAACACCCAGGACTGATCTCCTTTAGGATGGACTGGTTGGATCTCCNAATCTGGCTGTGTATTTTTCTGTGTTTATATTTTTTCTATCATTTATATATGTATTTGGTCAGAGAAATACTACAAAATGTAATCTTACTGTGGCTGGATGCTTACTGCTTTTTATTTTAGATAAAATAATATAATTTTTAAAATTTAGATGATGTGTTCTTGAATTCTTAACTAAATTAAAGGGATAGTGCCTAGTGGAAAATTGTAGTTACACAAAGCTCGTGGAAACCATTTTCCTCTGACACTTTACTTTGTGTGTTTTCAATTAATTTTTTCTATATGTGAGTTTTTTAGGGGGAAGAAGGTAAGATCTTCTCTCTTGTATCCTCTTGTAGTTCAGTTGGTAAAGTATCTGCCTGCCATGCAGGAGACCCAGGTTTGATCCCTGGGTCGGGAAGATCCCCTGAAGAAGGGAATGGCAACCCACTCCAGTATCCTTGCCTGGAAAATCTCATGGACACAGGAGCCTGGTGGGCTGCAGTCCTTGGGGTCGCAAAGAGTTGGGCACGACTGAGTGACTAACACTTACTTACTTACAAACACTAAATTGCACTGAGAGAGTCTCAGTTTGGAGTTTTCAAATTCATTTAGAAAAAGTTATAACTATAATCTTTTCTGTGTCCTAAATATGTCATCTTAAAAATAAATCAAAGCTTCTGAGAGTCACTGTTGACTTAGATGTGCTAAAAATAATAACTTCCCCAATATTTAAGGTATAGATAACTTAGAAATGGTTCCAATAGAGTAAATGAGACTAGTAACATTTTGAGAAATGAAATATCCAAGAATGGAGGATTAAGAATTGCAGAGGATAATTCAGAAGGACTTTATCACTTTCCACAACTACATCAACATCTGTAGTGTGAGCAGAAAGATGCTACCTCAGTTCTCTCCAGTCTTGCCCACACCCACACCCCTCAGTACTTACTCCAGAGTCCTCAGAGTTGGGACAGTTCCTGACCTCACACAGACCAGAGTTCCTCATGACTGCTGTGTATTACATGTATGAAAAAAGACCAGAGGGGACTACACAGACTTAACCAGGATTGGGGATGATAGCTATAAGAACAAGAGAAAAAAATATCCTGGACAAAAGTAACTATGCTCAGAAAAAGAATTTCATAGTAAGACCTAATTAAATTTTTTAAAATTTTATTTATTTTTTGTGTGTGCATGCTTGTATGCTAAGTTGCTTCAGTTGTGTCCGACTCTGTGACCCTATGGACTGTAGCCCACCAGGCTTCTCTCTCTGTGGAATTCTCCAAGCAAGAATACTGGGGTGGGTTGCCATTCCCTTTTCCAGGGGATCTTCCCAACCCAGGGATCGAACCTGAGTCTCTTATGTCTCCTGAATTGGCAGATGGGCTCTTTACCACTAGCACGACCTGGGAAACCCATTTATTTTTTTATTGACGTCTAATTGACCTATAATATTATATTAGTTCCAGATGTAGAACACGATGATTAGACATTTGTGTGTATTGGTATATGTGTGTTGAGTTCTTTCAGGGAGGGGCAAAGAACTGCGGGGAGCTGAGACAGCATGCAGAGCTGGGCTTGCCTGGCCCCAGCGTGCACCTGTGCAGGCCCCAAGCTGTGCGCCAAACCAGAAGCCTTCCTCTCAAGCCAAAGCTCTTGGACAAGCAAAAGGCCTCTTTTGCAAAAATACTGAGGATGTGTTTCAGTGTGCTGTCTGTGCAGGGCCCCACGACTGATAGCTGGCTGAGACTCGCTGTCTAACTGTTACAGCCTCACGGGACACAGGAAGGCAAGCTTACCTAAAGGCATGTAAAACCCCCTCCAGAGATATCAGACATACATTCTCTGGATCCCAGCAGAGGGAGATGCAAAAAAATAAAACAAAACAAATCACCTGCACTTGGAGATTTCTGCAAAGGATTAAGTCAGCCAAAGTAAAGTGGAAATCGCTCAGACATGTCGGACTCTTTGTGACTCCATAGACTGCAGCCTGCAAGGCTCCTCTGACCATGGAATTCTCCAGGCAAGAATATTTGAGTGAGTTGCTATTTCCTTCTCCAGGGGATCTTACCAACCCAGAAATTGAACCCAGGTCTTCTGTATTGCAGGCAGATTCTTTACCATCTGAGCCACCAGGGAAGTCCCACCTGTGTTTAATCAGAAGCCTGACACTATGGAGATAAGCTATTATAAGTCCTTTTACAGAGTGACTAGGGTCCTGAGTCTGTTTCTTCTTGGGGTGTCCTGGGGGGTAGTCATCACTTAAGAATCTTTCTCTGTTGGTTATTCTTCTGTGGGACCCACGAGCGTAGGCTCCACTGGCCATCAGAACCAGGTGGTCCAGAGGTATCACCAGTGGAAGACACAAAAGTTGGGGCACCAGAGGAGGGCCAAGCTCCTTTTTGGTGGTACTGGTGAGCAAAGAGGACAAAACTGGTCCCTGCCAGCCTCCGTCCCCAGAGAGTACCCCAGTAGGCCCCTAGGTGTGTGCTAGATTAGATGCCTACCCACCAGGCCAATGCTTTGTGATAAGCAAATAAGCCTCTGACACAAGTCTGGGTACCTCTCAATAGGCTGCTCCTGTGCTGGGCTCTGGAGGAGAGAGCCTGAGCACACGGCCCCTTTAATAGCCATTTCTGCAGTTTCCTATAGCCTTGGGTCTGGTGACTATGAGCTCTGTTGGTTTTCAAAGCTGGATGTTTGGGGATCTCATCTCTCAGGTTAAGGTCTTAAAAGTTGGGGTGCCCAGTGTGGGTTTCAAATCCTTCACTCCTCAGAGAGAAGCTCTGGGTGGGAGATTCTTAACTGTTTTTAAAAATTTTTTTTTTCAGAGGAACATTTTCCACATGTAGCTCTGGATTTAGGTGTCTATAGGGGGAGGTAGGTTCAGGATCTTTCTACATCACAGCCTGACCTGGAACCCCTACATCGAGTTAATGTTGAAATACACTTCTTTTCAGTTCAGTTCAGTCGCTCAATGGTGTCCGACTCTTTGTGACCCCATGAACTGCAGCATGCTAGGCCTCCCTGTCCATCACCAACTCCCGGAATCCACCTAAACCCATGTCCATTGAGTCAGTGATGCCATCCAACCATCTCATCTTCTGTCGTCCCCTTCTCCTTCTGCCCTCAATCTTTCCCAGCATCAGGGTCTTTTCAAAATGAGTCAGCTCTTCGCATCAGGTGTCCAAAGTATACCCATTCCTTATTAAGAGGTGTTCTAATTCAGGGTACCCTGGTAGCATTCCAAATGAGAGAAACGCTGACTTACTTAACATAATACAATGATTTCTTTCACGTGATGCATATTTTTGTATTGGATAGAACAAAAAACTATAATATAAAATTGATTAAACACTGGTAGGAACTACTACTAGTGGAGAAATCCCCCAATCCCAAAATTCCCATCCTTAGAGAATTTTTTTCAAAATAATATTAAGACCCAAATAGTCTTCCTGAAGACTAAGATGGAAGCTAATATTGTGGAACTCCCATTGCTACTTTGTGCCAGATAATGTGTTACAGAGGGGTCTGTGTGTGTGAGAATATATGTTGTGTGTGTGCGTGTGCTCAGTCTTTAAGCATTACTTAGAACTTGCCAGCCAAATATTAGTTTAGAAAGAAGCAGATTCAGAGAGTGAGAAAGGAACTGAGCCAGCATTCAAATCATTTCCATCTCATTTAAAAACTTACATGCACTGTGCTGCAGTGTGGTGGCACAGTGTGAGGGCTGGACATACTATACACGTATTTAGCACATAGCAATGTGAAATAAATGTTCGCCATCATTACTGTTATTACAGACTTCCTCCAAATGGATTAGCACAGGTCCTGTGCTACTTCTATAGAGGTATTTTACAGAATGTTTGCTTCCCACTTTTAGAACATATTGTGGCCACTAAGTACTTAAATGCAAAATAGTCATTGTTCAGTCGCTCAGTCATGTCTGACTCTGAGACCTCATGGACTGCAAAATTCCAGGCTTCCCTGTCCTTCACCATCTCCCAGAGCTTGCTCAAACTCACGTACTTTGAGTCCTTGATGCCATCCAACTATCTCATCCTCTGTTGTCCTCTTCTCCTCCTGCCTTTGATCTTTCCCAGAATCAGGGTCTTTTCAACTGAGTTGGCTCTTTGCATCAGCTGGCCAAAGCATTGGAGCTTCAGCTTCAGCATCAGTCCTTCCAATGAATATTCAGGAATTTCACTTAGAATTTTCTATGACTTGAAGTGGTTGGAAAGAGGCTTGGCAAAATTGGAAGGAGAGACTATTCCACAGAGGAACTTGTTCCCTCTCTTTGTCAGCCTTTTCCTCTTTTCAGCTACTCTTAGCTCCCTACCCCTTGCCACAGAGTATTTTATTCCTTTAACTTTTTTTAAACAAAAGACCAAGAGGACCTACTTGTGTAGTAAACTCAATGAAATAGCTAGGATTGACTGATTTGATCTTCTTGCAGTCCAAAGGACTCGCAACAGTTTTCTCCAACACAATACAAAAGCATCAATTCTTCAATGCTCAAATTTTATGTCCAACTATCAGATCCATACATGACTACTGGAGGAACCATAGATTTGACTATATGGACTTCTGTCGGGCAAAGTATTTTGCATATTTGTATGCAAAATAGATACAGTCTAATTTGCTGGGGTGTTCAGAGAAAGTTATTCCTCCAGAGACTCAAAACCCCTGACCCACTCCTCACAGCTGTATACAGTGAAGCTTAGAAGCTGTGGATGGGTCTCCTGGTTAGACTCTCAATGTTGAATTTGACACTGTCAGCTCTTCAAGTTTACTCAGTATTAGAGAAGTGCCAGGGAAAAGTGCTCCTCTGATGGCTCAGACGGTAAAGAATCTACCTGCAATATAGGAGGACAGGGTTCAATCCATGGATGGTGGAGATCCCTTGGAGAAGGGAATGGCCACCGACTCCAGTATTCTTGCCTGGAGAATCCCATGCACAGAGGAGCCTGGCGGGCTACAATCCATGAGATTGAGAAGTAAGGGTAGAAAGGATCATTTAGCTATTTGGGAGAATGAAATGCCAAATGAATCCCTACGGAATAGACAAGTATCTGCTTAGGCTTCCCTGGGGCTTTCTGAATAAACAACCAAGAAGGGCTGAAAAATGCACTTGGGATTTTCTCTGACTTAAAGTGCTTGGAAAGAGGCTTGGTGACTTTGGAAGGAGTGACTATTCCGCAGGGAACCTTCTCCCTCTTTGTCAGTCTTCTCCATCCTGCGCTCAGCTGCTCTTAGCTGCCTATCCCTCACCACAGAGTATTTTGTTCCTTTAACTTTTTTTTTCTTTATAGACCAGAGGCCCTACTTGCATAGTAAACCCAATGAAATAGCTACATTTTAATTAAATTTACACAGCTTTTATGACACCAGTGAGTAGCCTTCACTGGTACCCAGAGAAACCCCAGAGCCATCAGATATACTTCATATGTAATTAATCTCTAATGTTCGATTTTGTAAGATATGTAATAATGCTGTCTGGATAGAAATGAGAGCTTCAGAGAAGAGTCATATTAAAGATGAAGAGAGTAGCTTTAGGAGGAATTGGTTTTCAAGAGAGCAACTAAGTGTGAACTTTATTAAAAGGAAAAGAAATAATGGGGATATCTCGCATTAAGTAAAAATGCTTGGCATCTTCAATTTTTCAGTTTCTTTTATTTTGCCCCAGACAAATGTTTCAGGGTTTGTTTTTATAATGTATACCATGTGTAATGTTACTTTTGTAGCCTCATAGATTTAATATTTGAGCAAAGGAAAGATTTGCTGTATTTAGAAATTACAGAGAGAAAATCCCCACTGTGACTAAAGCTTCGATAGAATTTAAATCCCTTTCCCTGCAAATATTTTGAGAAATTTTCAATCAAGTCTTTCTTTTTTTTTTTTTCATTTTTAAAGCTTTTTGTTTTGTATTGGGGTATTGTTGTTGTTCAGTTGCTAAGTGGTGTCTGACTCTGTGACGCTGTGGGCTATAGCACACCATGTTCCCTGTGCTTCACCATCTCCCCGAGTTTGCTCAAACTCATGTCCATTGAGTCGATGATGCCATCCAACCATCTTGTCCTCTGTCACCCCTTTCTCCTCTTGCCCTCAATCTTTCCCAGCATCAGGGTCTTTTCCAATGAGTCAGCTCTTCACATCAGGTGGGCAACTTCAACATCAGTCCTTCCAATGAATATTCAGAGTTGTTTTCCTTTCGGATTGACTGGTTTGATCTCCATGCTGTCCAAAGGACCCTTGGGATTCTTTTCCAGCACCACAGTTCAAAAGCATCAGTTTTTGATGCTCAGCTTTCTTGATGGTCCAACTCTCATATGTGTACATGATTACAGGAAAATCCATCATTTTGACTATATAAACCTTTGTTGGCAAAGCATTGGGGTATAGCATATTTACAAATATTGTGAAATATTCAGGTGAAGAGCGAAGGGATTCAGCCACACTTATACATGTATCCATTCTCGCCCAAACTCTCCTCCCATCTGGTCTGCCACATAATGTGGAGCAGAGTTCTATGTGTTTCAAGTCTTTATTTTTAATTATCAAACTAACAAATGACAAAATATTATCTAAATCACTTGTTCTACACCTTCTCTCTCTCTCTCAGTACATACTCAGATGTGTCTGACTCTTTTCTACAACTTGTAGTTTTCACTAAAAGTTCACCATCTCACTTAATCCTCACACACAGTGGAAGAGGAAAGAGATAGCATTGTTACTCTTTCCATAAATTACAAAATAGCTGCTTGTGGAGATCACGTTATTTTTCCAAGGTTAACCAAGTGACTGATGAAGACTATGAGTTCTGATTTACAGTCTAATGTCTTTTCAATTCTACCATTCTGATCTTTTAAAATCTCTATATATATCCCAATATAAACTTCATATTAAAGTCATTATAATGATGCTTAAGCTTGGGAGATAAATTACCTAGGAGAGATTATTCCATCACTTTCTAAAAAACACTTCTGTTGTAATCTGTGTAGCTTTTGTGACACAAGACTCCTTTCTTGTACCTCCTTTGCAAGTTCACCCTTTTCTTGGATTCTCTATGTGGACAAATAGTATCTCCATCCACTCTGGAGGCCATGCTACAATTTTCTTGACTTTCTTCACTCACTCAGTCTGTTTAGTTACCAAGTTCTTTAATCCTGCCTTCAAAATGATCCCAAATAGCCTTCATTCTGCTCATTTCCACTGTTACTGCTAAGATTTAAATTCTTATCGCTTTTCTGAAATTTGCCTATAAATCATGATTCTAATTTTTCCTCACTTTATCCTCCTTACTGTGACTAGAATTATTATTGGAAAATTTTGCTTCAATCATGATTCTTCCCCACCTAGAAACCTCTATTGACTCTATATTTACAGGCAGAGTAACATGCAAATATGCTAACGAGTTATGTGAGACTCTCAGCATCTCTTTCTGCTCATTTCCTTCCCATCATTCACTGTATGCTATACCCACAGTAGACAAGTCCCTGACTCACCATTCCTTGAATGTTTCATGATGTCCAAATGCTTGTGCCCTTGTTTGTGGCCGACGTCTTTCCCTTTACAAGCTCAGACCCATCTATAAAGTCCTAATCAATTTCTGGGAATCAGTTCAAATGAAAGTTTCCCTGACAGCTCCCACAACCTCAAGGAATTTCTCACCAGCTTCTCTCTACTTCCCATCATGTTAAACATTCCTTTATTTCAGCCCTTTCAAATTACATTTTAATTATTCATTTTTTTATTAATAACTGGTAGTTGGGAAGCAGATTAAATGGGCTTTGTGGGAAGAGTCAGGTCCCCATAAATTAACCCTAAATTATTTGATTAATAGAATGAAATCTTGCATAGCCCACTGAATTAGTAACATTTAGACTTCTTTCTCACCTTTCAAAAAATACCTTCTAAGCCTCCAAGGGTGAAAGGGCAAACTAAATTGTGACTTCACGGACTGTAGCCCACCAGGCTCCTCTATCCATGGAATTCTCCAGGGAAGAATACTGAAGTCATTATCCATTCCCTTCTCCAAGCAATCTTCCCTACCCAGGGATTAAACCCAGATCTCCTGCATTGCAGGCAGATTCTTTACCATCTGAGCTACCAGGGAACCCCTTTAAAAAAGGCAAGAGGGAGTAAAATGAACCAGTCCAGTTCTATTTATATCCAGCAGAGCTTAGGTGCTGGCGTCTCATTTACAGTCACTCAAGTAGACGAGGTAGGGTAATAAAGGGTTAACCTGAGTTATAGAATTACATATGCTTTGGTAAGCCATTCCAAACTTCCTGCTGTCCCACTATTCTAAGAGCAGGTGTGTGTGTTATGCATGAATCTCATGTTCTCCTTCATTAGTCCAGCTATTCTAACCTTTTCCATTAACTGATACTGTTAATAGATGATGAATAAACATCCATCCTCTATCCATGGAATTCTCCAGGGAAGAATACTGAAGTCATTATCCATTCCCTTCTCCAAGCAATCTTCCCTACCCAGGGATTAAACCCAGATCTCCTGCATTGCAGGCAGATTCTTTACCATCTGAGCTACCAGGGAACCCCTTTAAAAAAGGCAAGAGGGAGTAAAAGGAACCAGTCCAGTTCTATTTATATCCAGCAGAGCTTAGGTGCTGGCGTCTCATTTACAGTCACTCAAGTAGACGAGGTAGGGTAATAAAGGGTTAACCTGAGTTATAGAATTACATATGCTTTGGTAAGCCATTCCAAACTTCCTGCTGTCCCACTATTCTAAGAGCAGGTGTGTGTGTTATGCATGAATCTCATGTTCTCCTTCATTAGTCCAGCTATTCTAACCTTTTCCATTAACTGATACTGTTAATAGATGATGAATAAACATCCGACACCTAAAAATACTCATGCACAGGAAAACCCAAGCCTATTGGACACTTCCTTAGGCACCAGTTCAGACTCTGTGTTTCAACTATAGTTTCAGCCACTCCTGTGGTGACCAACAGTGAGGAGGCTCCAGTCATAGTCCCCATGAATCAATTATATTGTTCTGTGGTTGGAGAACATGCTCTTTATAATTTTAAATCTCAGAATTTTTTGAAGACTTGTTTCATAGCCCAGAGTACGATCCATTTTGGTAAAAAAAATTCCATGTGCACTTGAAAAGAATGAATACTCTGCCATTTGTTCAGGAATGCCTTATGGATGTCAGTAAGGTTAATTTTGTCATTTGCTATTTTCTATTTTCACATGAATTGTTTACTTGTTGTGGCATGTTTTCAGTTACTGATAGTCTTCTAATAGGATTGTAGATTTTTCTATTTCTTCTTCTGTTTTTTTGCCCTATATATTTTGAAATTGTATTATTAAGATACATAAAAACAGAATATTTATCTTCTCCTTGTAAATCAAACTCATAATCATTATAAAATATTCCTGTTTTTATTTTACAGTGAATCTTGCCTAAATATTTGGGAGCTACATTATTAGGTACATAGAAATTTAGAATTGTTATATTTTTCTTATAGGTTTGGCTGTTTTTTTAAAAAAAGGTTTAACTTAATCATTATGAAATATTCCCATTTAATTTTGATATTGAATCTTACCTAGGATTTTGTCTGATTCAGCTTTCTTTTGGATATTGTTTTCATGATATTCTTGTTTTCAACACCCTATTTTCATCCTTGTATTTAAGATGCACCTCTCACATGGACTATATATTTTTTTAATTAAATCTACTTTACTATTTATTGTCCAGTTACATTTGATATAGTTATTAATTTTTTAATCTATCATTTTAGTTTTCTGCTTGTCTCACCTGATTTATATATTAGTAATTTTTAGCCACTTTTCAGGTAATGTTAAACCTTTAGGGTACTCCTCTCATCCCTTTTTTGTGTCATGCACTTCAATTCTATTATTTATAAATACATCTCAAATCTCACAAGACATCATTATAATTATTTTGCACAGTCATTATATCACATTTTAATCGTATATGTTTATTGTCATCCCTTCCTGCATCTTGGAGTTTTAAAATAGGAACATTTTTCCTTTTACTTCAAGAATTCCCTTTGGTATTCAACTGGGATATATTGGAGATAAGCTCTCTTTGTACATGTATGCCTAGAAATTTATTTTTGTCTTCCTGTTGAAGATTATCATCATCAGATATAAAATCCTAAACTTGAAGTTTTAATTTGTTCCAGTACTTTGAAGATAGTACTCTGTTGTCTTCTGGATCACATCATTCCTGTTGAGAAACCGGCTATAAGTCTTAATGTTGCTCCTCTGAAGGCATTGTGAATTTTTCCCTCTAACTGTAGTTAAATCTTTGATTTTAACCATATATATATATATATATATATGGTTGGTAAAGAATCCGCCTGCAGTGCGGGAGACCTGGGTTCAATCCCTGGGTTGGGAAGATCCCCTGGAGAAGGGAAAGGCTACCCACTCCAGTATTCTATCCTGGAGAATTCCATTGCAAAGAGTCGGACATGACTGAGTGACTTTCACTTTCACTATATATATATATATATATATATATAGTGAAGTCCATATATATATATGGACTTCTGAATCTTTCACATAATGACTTCTGTTAGGTCTGAAAAATTCTTGCCCATTCTCTTTTAAAATTGATTGTCCATTTTCTGTCTCCTACATTTTTGGGACTATAATTGCACATATTGATAAGTTAGACCTTTTCTTACATGTTCCATCTATCTCTATTGAAGCTTTCTGTACCTTTCTTCTTTTTTACTCTCCATGTGTGAGCTTGAATAATTTATACTCATCTCTCTTTCTTTGTCCAATCTGATATTAAAGCCAAATGTTAAATTTGTAGTTTCAGTGACTACATTTTTCAGTTTCAGAATTTTCACTGAAATATTTTTATAGATTATATATATACAAATATATATAGTGAAATTCTTCATCATTTTACCCATTATTGAATGAATTAACCACAGTCATTTTCAACTAGTGTCTTAGTTAGTTGTAGGTCTGTTTCTGTTGTCAATGTTTTCTTTGGGTCCTCTTTACTGGTATGTTAGGTAATCTTTGTTGAATGACAGACTTTTTATTTGAGAAATTACAGACAATGGGTGTTATCTCTCACTACAGAAGATTCCCCTTTTTTCTGGTAAGCAACTAGAGTAGACATCTAAACACAGTGAGAAAATGATTTGATTTCAGACTGAGTCTCAGAGCTCCTAATATCAATCCTAACTCTATTTTACCTCAACTCCCTAGGGCGAAGGCCCCCAGGGACCCCAAATGAGATTCTAGAGTGTTTATTAGGGCCTTTCACATTTGCTGGGTCCTGAACTCACATTTTTCTCTTTGAAGCACTGAGAACAATCACAAGTTTTATTGAGTTTTTTGGTTGCCTTTTGAACTACACAACTAAGAATTATCAAATTATTCAAAAGGGAAAGTAGTGTGGAGTGTCAAGCTTGCTTCCCTATACCTATCTTTCTCCAAGATGCTAGTCTCTCAAATCCTGGTTATTTTAATTCTAATTTTTGTCTCCTTAATGCCATGAGGTCATCACAACTTTGCTTATACTTCTCTTAGCAGTTACTTTTTTACTGGCTTCTTAACCTTCTGTACTGCTGAAAAACCGTCATATGTCTCAAGGAGAAAAGTAGTAAGCAGACTGTTGGGATCACCTCAGTGAACTCTAGAATTTTGGTCCCTCAAGTTATGAACTCCCTGGAAGCTCCCTGCTGACTTCAAACAATTTTCTTCCCCAGATTTTATTCAGATTTTCTAGTTACTAGCTGAAGTAGAAATAGATTAACTTTACCAATCACAATTTTTTGCATTGTTTCTCTTTCCACTCTCAAATGAGGCTGTCTCTTATAAGAAAGACTGTGGTTTTGAAGGAATAATATAGGTGTGTAAACTCATTTAGTTATGCGTATTTACTGAGTGTCATTACTGTTCTGATGCTTTGCTAGTTGCTAAAAATAGAGCAGTAGCACACTCTTCATCCTCTAGGATTCCCAGTTTGGTTGGGTGATAAAAAGGTACACACATGAGTACAGTTGTTAAGTGCGGTCTTAAGATAGGTGCACAGGATTCTCCAATAAACAGGACAAGGGGACTCATTTAGCCAGACAGCTGGGGAGGGAAACAAATCTTGTCACCTTGGCACATTCTGATTTTCCCCATTTAAAAGGGGCCAAAGAACTAAACAGACATTTCTCCAAAGAAGACATACAAATGGCTAACAAACACATGAAAAGATGCTCAACGTCACTCATTATCAGAGAAATGCAAATCAAAACCACAAAGAGGTACCATCTCACGCTGGTCAGGATGGCTGCTATCCAAGTCTACAAGCAATAAATGCTGGAGAGGGTGTGGAGAAAAGGGAACCCTCTTACACTGTTGGTGGGAATGCAAACTAGTACAGCCACTATGGAAAACAGTGTGGAGATTTCTTAAAAAGCTGGAAATAGAACTGCCATATGACCCAGCAATCCCACTTCTGGGCATACACACCAAGGAAACCAGATCTGAAAGAGACACGTGCACCCCAATGTTCATCGCAGCACTGTTTATAATAGCCAGGACATGGAAGCAACCTAGATGCCCATCAGCAGACGAATGGATGAGGAAGCTGTGGTACATATACACCATGGAATATTACTCAGCCATTAAAAAGAATTCATTTGAATCAGTTCTAATGAGATGGATGAAACTGGAGCCCATTATACAGAGCGAAGTAAGCCAGAAAGATAAAGACCATTACAGTATACTAACACATATATATGGAATTTAGAAAGATGGTAACGATAACCCTATATGCAAAACAGAAAAAGAGACTCAGATGTATAGAACAGACTTGTGGACTCTGGGAGAAGGCGAGGGTGGGATGTTTCAAGAGAACAGCATTGAAACATGTATATTATCTAGGGTGAAACAGATCACCAGCCCAG